ATCTGTCAAAGACAAGATTTCAGAAACACATTGTTTTTATTTTTCAATCCATATCTCTCTGCCCGTTTGCGATGTGAGTATAGCTCAACGTATGCTGTACTGCAAATGATTTGATGCTTCTGATGGTCTTTACCACATCCGAAAATGCAAATTTTTCAGAATGAGGATTTGTAAAACGGCTATTATCTTTGCGTCATCCTGATAGAAAGAGGAAAAAACTTTATCCTTTTGCCCTCCAGCAATTTTGGTTTTCTACGAGTATCTGTGCCCGAAAAATGTTTATTTGTTTTATCCTCTTTGTTTGCTAGAGTTAATCTTTTATAGCAATTATCATCGATTTTTCTAATAGCGATCGTCATTGAAAATTGCCCGCTGACGCAGCAAACAATCACAAGCCGGTCATAAAGGCAGTGTCCCGGCAGATTCGCGCCCTCGGTGATATCGCTGCGGTGGGGTTCCTGGCCATCTCGCCTAACCTCTAGGCCTAATCCGGCTAGTTGATGTTCCCCCCGGGCCGAGAAAATAGCCCCCGAACCGGCGCGCGCAGGCCCGATCGGCGCGCGCTAGACGACTTCGCTCACCTGTTCGGCGCGGGACCCCATTACCGCTCTCCGCATTATGCATGCTATATCAAAGGAAAAATTACAGGCGGCAGGGTCTTCGCGCCGGGACCTCCCAAATATTTCCGTTGAAACCCTCTTCCGAGCCGCTTTTTGGAAACTGGAGAAACTCCCCAAAAACGGCCATCACCCGGTTCTAAGCTCAGATTCGGGTTCTACGAGTTGAAGAGGCCTATAACATGCAATAAAGTGGAAACGCAGAATCTGCCGGGACACTGCCTATAAGCCATAGTTCTTTTGCTCGAGACGCAGTGATCTATCCACTTGACTAATCTTGCAAGAATGTGATTTTCTTCGAAATTGCTTGCGGAAACACTTGCTTACTACTACTTACTTACCTCCTATAGAAAGCAGTCCGCGCCGAAAGATGGCTAGATATGCTGAGTCGCCGTGATTGGTTTAGGCCCAGTATCAGCCAAGTTGCCATGACTGGGGGGGGGGGGGGGGAGGTGCTACTAATTTAAATCTACTATACTATAAACTTTAAAATAAGCTTGCCGTCAATTTTACAATAACAGTAATTTCCTCACTGAAAATGAATGAATCGTAAACTATCCTTTGATTCAACGGTACTGGCGGCTGGATGGCGACCGCCCGCACCCGCGACGCAGTCTGTGTCTCTCTGGCGATCGTGCTCTCGGATCATTCCCTAGCTTGGATTAAGCCTTGAAACCCCGCCTTTTTTTCATATCCAAAGCAAAGGGATCATTAAATAATAAGGTAGTATTTTGCTCAGCAAGTATGCATCTGACCCCTTTTGGTTGGTGATATTTTTCATCAATCTTCATCCTCAGAATTCTCTATCACCGCGGCGTAGTGGAAATAGGAAGCAATAGCGAATGTATGCATCAAAAATGAAAAGTTCAAGGAAGGTGTTTTAGTAACTGATAGTGAAGTTGACAATTCTCCGGCTTCTCAAATGCCGTTCCGATACAGATTCCTTTTACGGTTATGCAAAATTCGTACACCTGACAACAGTGAAAGACTTTTCTTCACCTGGAGGCTAGTCAGAATTCAACTCAGCTTTGAAGCTCAAAATCGTTAGATGCACCTTCACAATACGTCCAATAATTGTGCTAAATAGATGCTGTCAGCACCCATGTTTTAATGCAAAGTGTTGCCTTTTGTGAAGCGCTTTGTCACGAGAAGCGATATCGGCTCAGAAATAACAAAAATGCCAGTGTTTGCGTAATGCACAAATTATTTTTATCTCAGAATTTTGCAGGATTTACTCATGTACGAATGTTCCCGAATGGTTGAATTGAGAATGGTGAAGACTGCAAAGCACTTTTCAAGCATTTCTCACTAGCCAGACCTTTCAGTTCCATAAAAGAACAAAACTTTTGAACCCATGTCATGTCGCCTAGAAATCACTAAGTGTTTCAGTAAGAAAGCTGGTCATTTCTTTCTCTTTAATGAGCAGGGCTCTGCACCGGTGGCTTATAAGCAAGCTTGTCTATTCGGGACAAAAGGAAAGGGTATGGTGGTCTTGAAAGACACAAGTTAGGTTAGGTTTTTTTAGTAAACGTTCCGATTTTGGGTCAAAGGAGGCTTCGTAAATTTTTGCGAAAGTCAGTTTTGCATATTCGGAAAGCCACCTTGTGCCGAGCCTTGCCATTGATAAGAAACCGTTCGCCAGTAGCGCCTTTTACATTTTGGAAATTACTCATATGGAGAAGATGTCTACGATGGAACAAAGTATGGGATTGTTTCAAAAGTTCTACCCGTTTTCGAACTTTGAAATTGATTCACCGTAACTCCTCTCAGAAATAATCATTGCAACTGCTATAAACTATATTACAATCTGCAAATCTTTGGCTATTCTGCGCACTCTTTAAGATTATTGCAGTAACAGTGGAGAAGATTTTACAGGCGAAAATCGAGGAACATCTTCTTGTAGAAACCTTCAATTGCAAAAGCATAACTTAATTTGGAATATAGCTGAGTTGCACAAGCACTGCTCATAGCGTAGCCCATAGTCGACTGAGCAGTACCGCTAACCTTGGACTTCATCAAACAGTTTCATAAAAGTTTTGTGCTGAAATATCCGAAAGGACACAGCTATTTTGCCTTTTCTGAGGCGGCAAGAAATGCAATTTTTTGACAATTTTGATTTTATTCGCCGTTGACAAACCAGGAAATCTTTTCGTTCTTCTAGCAGCAGTTGTTCTAGCTCTAATCTTACTATTACATATAAAGTAAAAATTCCGCGATCGCAACATGTTTATGATTTTTACGCGATTTGAAGGGACCATAGACAGGTTATGTTCGTGCTAAAAAATTGTTGGTTAAAAATTTTCCTGGAATCTTATTAGGTTGGTCCAAAAGTTCTTGCACACTATTTTCAAAAAATATAACTTCCTTGCCATTCTATGAATTTCGTTAATGTTGTATTCATTCGAAAGGGAAATCCATGCTCTTTACAGAATTTCTCCGGCACGAAATAGTTTCAAAAATTTCAAGAGTTAGAAGCAGTTTAATGAAATCGGTCAAAATTGGCATTTTTCGAGCTGGGTCGAAAAATTCTGGAAGTATTTTTATTCGATAGAAAAAATTATGCTCATTACAATGGTACCTTTTTCATGAATTAAAACGAAAAAGATCGAGAGTTAGGAGCAAATAAAGAGAGTTTCTTCAGTTTTGCTTCTTGAGCATGCTCAAAAAAGCCTAAAAACGTTACGGAAAAGACGGAAAATTCATAAACATGAGTTTTGTGACCTTCTCTTCCTAGTTAAGGGTTGTACTAAGAAAGAGCAGTTTTGTTTTTCGTGATTTTTCCAGATTCACGGACCTGCGTTTTCACGAAAATCAAAATTGCTCTCGATTAGCACGATTTACATTCAGCTAGAAAGAGAAGGTCACAAAATCCATGTCGTGACTTTCCCGTCTTTTCTGTGACGTTTTTAGACTTTTTTGAGCAAGCTCAAAAATTGCAAAACTGAAGAAATTCTCTGTATTCGCTCCTAACTCTCTTCTCTTTTTAATTCATGAAAAAAGTACCATTGTAATGAGCATAATTTTTTCTATCGAATAAAAATACTTCCAGAATTTTTCGTGACCTAGCTCGAAAAATTCCAATCTTGACCGATTTTATTCAACTGCTTTTAACTCTTAAAGTTTTCAAAAGTAATTCAAGTCGGAGGTAATTCTGTAAAGAGCATGGATTTCTCTTTCGAATAGATATAACCACAACGAAATTTATTGAGTGCCAAGGAAGCTATGACTTTTTGGTAATGATGCGCAAGAACTTTCGGACCAACTCAATGTCTCGATGAGCGTTTCGTAGCACAAGTCTCCAGCAAACATTATGCATGCTTAAAAAAATTTTTTTCTATTGGCTGTAGATTTCACGGCGAAAAAGCAAAGACGAACATTTGCACAATTGTTTCGCTGTCTTTTTAAAGTACGCAACCACACAGCGAACAAAGATCTATGAAAACGAAAACATGCCTGAAAACTAGAAGAAAAGAGCTTTTGAATGATATAAGCATTGTTTACGAAAAATGATTTCTTCCTCCAAAATTGGCAGTTCAAAGAAGTATCGAAAACGGGTAGAACGCAACCCAATAGAAGGGATAAAGCAAGAAATGAATGTGAATGCAAAAAACCAATATTGTCAGAATGAATAAATTTGTTAGAATCCTTTCGTATTCATGGCTTTTTTTTTCGACATCTTTAGCTGTCCAATTCGACAGGGCAAACCTTTTTTGAACACACTTTCACGTGTTTTTATGCCACTTCCCACTAAAGCTCAACCATAGGAAAGCGTGAAGCTATTGAGGAGCCGCAACCTCACTGATTCGAAATGGGGACAGTTGGATGTTGACGTAATTTTGACATAATCATCCCCTTGTCTACCGCCTCATAAACACTCAGGATCATTTAGGGCGTAAATGTGCGGATCCTACACTGAGAATAGCAAGTAGATTAGAAAAATATCTTCTTACTTTAAGCAAGCTGCTCAAAGCAGCTGCTCTAATCGTGGGTTTTTTATGTGCCATTGTCTGCAGGCAGGCGAAGGTCTCCAACATGAAGGTTTTAGATCTTGACGTATTTCACCCTCTGAGGCTTTTATGATTAAAAATGATAGCTCACGAAAAGAGCAGCTAATGATGGATGTCCCCCTGGTGCAAAGGTTATGCTGACAATTTTTGCACACACACAATACCTTTGGCTGCTACTTGAAAAATAGCCACACAAGTATTGACATTTCGAATGAAAGAGTAAAGTGTGCAGTTTTTAATTTACACACAGAACATAATGTGCGTGCACCAGATAGCAGGCAAGAGTTTATCTGACATCTCCTATTTGTTTGAGTGTCAGCAGTGTCAGCATTATTTGTACCTGTATAAAAGGAGGAGTTATTTAAAAGTATTACGAATGTTTGGTCTAGTCGCAGCAATCACTGTAAGTTTTGAATCTTTTTTTTGTATTGCAACGAAGGTGCCGGATGTTTAGATCATTCCAACATTTGCGCAAGTTGCGCATAAGTGTGACGGAAGCGTTAATGATACAGACAGAGAAGATTTGAAGACTACGATATATAACTACTTAGTTAATGCTTCAAGCACGACCGATGTAATTTGACTTCTTTGAAACCAAAAGCAATGACTCAAAATTTGGATGACTTTTCTCAAAATTGCAGTTTCCCTACTACTATAGTTGCACATACGAATATTGTGTATACAACCCGGAGAACTGTACCGAAATCCTGCAGGGTGAAAAAGTTATCAATAGTAGCGTCAGCTTCTTGTAAGTATTGTGCGCACCGGCGAATAAAATAATTTAACAATTCTTTCAGTACTCCTCCTGGTGGTGAAGGCGATGTCCGCAAAGCTGCCAAGACCATATTTGACCAGTTGCGGAGATATTTGGTAAGATTAAGTAATTATCCCACCCGCGTGCGTTTCATATATACTAGAATCGTGTTGTATCCGAAGAAATCATGATTTTGGCTTGCATTTTCAGCAGACAGGAACAAAACTGTGAGCTAAATTCTATATCGCAGAGGCTTGCTTTCTGATTCTCTCTCAAGACACCAAAGCCTTTCCAAATAAATTGTAGTGACCTTTTCTTTCGGCGACATAGGGTCCCCATAAAACGAAAATCTGCTGCAACCAAACGCTGCTTTATTATAATTGCTTATTTTTTGTTGGTTTGTTGAGTTTGCATAATCTTCAGGAATTTAAAAATGTCACCTGGGGTTGCGACTTGAAGAACGACACGGAAATATCTGAGCAAAAGATACGGAAGGAACAAAAGGAACAGAAGCTTAGGAATGGAAACTGCTTTTTTACACCTACGCTACTGGCTTATTCATTGGCCCTTGAAAAGAAACAATATAATGGATAAATGTACCCAACTTTGCGCATAAATAATGATTTTTTTTGAAAATCTTTTCTTGTTAGTAAAAACCGCATGGTGACATTCTACGATAAATGCCGCTTTAGCATCTAACGTGCTGATTTGAGAAAAAGACCTTCCACAAAACTTTCAGTATTTATGAAGGGTAATCAAAGGACTCGATTTGCAATACCAGTTTCGAGCATGCACCAAACGCATTCTATTTCATGTTCAGCCATTAAATACAAGTTAACGCTTCAATCCTCCGGGATTATTCTGGCAGCAGTCCGTTATAACCCGCGCTTTTCGGTTCAAGGAGCAACAAACTATTGCTTCAAAGGCACCGTCCACCCAAAATGGATGTTGGCGAGATTATGATGGCATACTAATGTGATCCCCCACACAACCTCCAAGCTGCGCCGCAAAAGACTGCTTCTAGAGCGAGAAATCCGCTCCGGAAGTAGCAAATCGCCCTCCTACGTTGCAGACGATATCTCGCCTGCGTTTGCTGCAGAGGGTTCTAGAAACAGGGATTTTTGGTGTTTCGCTAATTTTCGACTCCATATTCGAAATCAGGGCCTTCAGAAGGTCCGGAATCGACAAAAACATGGAAGTCGAGAATTTGGGTGGACGGTGCCTTTAATCGATTACAGCGGCGCATGCGATTAGGCCATTCTTCCCTATAGGTTCCTGTATGAGACGGCCTGGAAAAGAGATATTAAAGCTTCTAATCAATAGCAAAGCATTCTGCGATCTATATAAGCAATGCCATACACCCACAAAGTACACTCACAAAATAATCTTTGAATTCTGGTAGTACAAGAACGCCTTTGGAAGATGTGTGGTAACATGCAAAACACATTTGCGGATCGCTTACCGACATGCGCATCATCGTAAACTAACATCTTACTGAAAAGGAAGTTTCACATAGTTGAATGCTCCTTTATCTTTGAATATGCGCATTTATCAAAGTCACTGATGTGTTTTGTAAGCAGACCAGATTTTGATGGTGATTTATTGACTTTACATATCGACAATGTCGTCATCATCAGGGCTATAAACGGACTGTAGGCTTTTTGACTCGCTCCCCATGTGCTCCTTTTCACTCTGTTAGTTTAAAACCAGTTTAAGACTTGCAGTCAGGGTCAAGCGTGTGATGCGACTGTCGCAACGGGGGGTCGTAAAGAGGGCCTACGGTGAGGGGGGGGGATCGTAAGAAGGGGTAGTTTGGATAAAAAACCGTACGGTTGAAAGCAAATCAAATAGCAAGTAATTATTACATGTTCTAAACAATATTCATGGAATGCCGTGTACCAATGTATCAAATAAGGCGAGTGAACAATAATTTAAAAACATTTGCAAGCGTAGAAATTCGCTTCATTTGCTGCACGTTTGAAAGATTACGACTTAGTTCTTTTTTTATGGGAATCGCCATTTTCCCGCAAAGTATTGTCTCAAACGGGGATCGAACCCTGTTGGCATGACTAAAATCCAAAAAATAAATTTCAGAAGCTTAAATGCTACTTAAGGCATGTATGTGTGATAATGATGTTGGATGTACCGATTGGTGTAGACATCCTGCTTCCAAAGGCTCACTGAAGACTCGCACACTCGACAAAAGCGCACATGTAAATCAACGATGACAATCAATAATTCTTAAATCTTTTTGTAATGCCATTTATGCGGCCCTTACAGTTTATATGTACTTTAGATAAGCCCTGCTACTGCTGTGCGGAATCTGGTGTTATTTTATAAACTGCGGATTTTCTTATGATTTTATGTATGGTAGCAAAAGGTCAGGAGAGGGGGGTCGTATCTGGGTCGCATCTAAATTTCTTTGGAGCTATTGAAGCTTGTTAGCTGCAAACTTGCTATAATACGAGGACATCCCTGTAGTTTTATCATAAGAATTTCAGGCTGTTTTATAACTTCTCTGTTAAGTTACAAAATTTTAAGCTCAAAAATCCCATTTTCTGCTTTTTAGGATCGCATCTAAATTTGCGAGAGCCTGATCTAAATTTTTTCGAGCTCACTGCTCCTCAGGGGCTGAAACTTTTTCTGTGAATAGTCTGGGCACTATGGTACAGAAGCTGTTCTTTGCAGCCTCTCAGTCTTTTCCTGGCCTTAGTTACGAATTTTCGAACTACCGTGCTCATGCATGTTTTTGACGTCGTTCTAGACGGCGCTAAAGCGGTTTTTTTTTCGCAGGAAAAACTGTGGAAGAGGTAAAAACTGAGCTTCTTAGTCGAAAACATCTTTTGTAGTTCAAGAATGTCATTTTGTTCTTCGTGTAAAAATTTGTGTCGCATACGGAAATTGAATTTGCTGGCCTGAAGTATGCCTGAAAATTCAAAAGTAAACTTGCAGAATCTCAAACATTGTTGAAAGTGTTTATATGTGCTAGAGATGCTAGGCGCACCCATTGGTTTAGAAATTCTGCTTCCGAAACCTCACTGAAGTTCTCACGCAGGCGTTTTTTGAGATTGACATTCGTTTATGCAGGTTACCGCGAGAAATGTGGGCAGGGAGGTAAGGGGGATAGATGGGGGGGGGGGGGAAGTAGAGGGGAGGGGGAGGGGGTTCGTACGGATGGGTACCTTCAAGGGAGGGAATCGTAAATGAGGGTCCGGGATCGCATCAACACGCCTGACCCTGCTTGCAGTATGAAATGCTCAAAACTACGAAATGAACTAACCTTGACTACACCTGCACACTTGTCTAAACCCAGTAATTTCTTGTACAAACTGCACAACACAAAATTTTGACTTAGTGTAATCATAAAGACCTCTGAAGTAATTTCTCTTTACGCCAGTCCTTGCGATATGCTTTACCAGGAGAACTGAGAAGCCATTCCTTACGCATATGTACTGTACTGTCGATGTACTGTCGTTATGTCGACGATGTGTAAAAACTTCAACATTCAAAATGAATGAGTGTTTTGACAGACCAGCAGTATCTGTACATCAAACTTACAAAAGAAACTCCACAAGACCGATGGATTTTTTTTCCGAACATTCAGATCAGCTCTACCATTTAAAATGTAGAATGCTCATTGGCATCATACATCTTGAATGGTACCGTAAAGGAAGCTCGAAAATTCAATCCACTTCAGCCCATGCCGCGAAGATAAAGAAAGCAGCTCTTTATAGAATGATAAAAGTTACGCTACTACGGTGCTGCACAGGTTACGAAGCGGTTTGAGCTAGAGCTTGCATCACAAATCAAGCGAAACAATGGATAAGCATTGCATCGCAAAAACATCATCAGGGAATATACGCGTTCCAAATGGTGTCAGTGCAATACCATAAGACACAGGTGCGATAGTGTGAGAATTTTCTCACTTTCCCTTCACCCCTGAGCCGGGACCAAGGTGACCCCCTTCACTAAAAGCCGAGAAAAATAATCAACAGTGAGGTAAGGTTAAGCAAAAAAGATATCTGTACGTGAATTGTTTATGTGTAGGAAATGAGGAGTCTGTTTGGCAGAGGGATGTAGAGGTGCTTGAATTTGGCAGAGGGGTGCTGATCACCCCCACGGGGGTGATCAGCATGCTCGATTACCCCCCTGTGCCAACTCCCAGCCCCGTAGTTCAAATTTTGCAAAAAATCGATAAAATCGATATCGATCGATGACGAAAAGTAGCCTATGACACCCGCCCCGCCCCGAAGTGTATGTGTGCCAAGTTTGGTCCGGATCGGTTCAGAAATGGAATTTCCTATTCGGAACATACGTACATACAGACATACATACATACAGACATACAGATATTCAGCTTTATATATAAGATACATCTACAGAAGTTGCGGATTTTTCTAACCTAAAAACTCGTAAATATCCAGAAATCACTACCCACACTCTTCACCAGGCACTTTTTCAACAGACTCCAGGCAAGCTTTATATTCTCTAAAAGCGGAAGACAAGATGTTAAGAATTTTTAAAGAAGAACTTCGTAACTTCTGTAGATGAACAGCAACGTCAGCGATGAAAAGGTTTTTGCTTAAAAATTGTTTACCTCTTTCCCGAAACAGATATTCTCGCATATACATTTTCTATGGTATTTTTAAAAACATATAGGGTTGTTCCAATCCTATCAGTCTTCACATTTTGGTAAAAATATAATCAATGATGGCAGAGAATTTAAAATGATAAACTTTGATTTGGAAATTAAGAAAACACCATCACCTTTTCCCTTCCTACCCCCCCCCCCGGTCGGCATTTTAGATTTCTCGATCAACTGAGACACCCTTCACCCTGGAGGGACTGCGACACTGTAACCCCCTTCACCCTAGAGGAATCATTCTCACCTTATCGCACCTGTGCCATAAGATTCATCTTACCATACCGTTCCAAACAAAAAGGCAATCAAATATCCATAGGGCTTAACTACAGGGTAATGGAATGCGGGCGGAGGACATTAGATCGCCGAAAGTGGGGGAGGTCCCGCGCGGACAATGCAGCAGATACTCAGCCTGTGCCTGCATTGGAATGTGTATTTGTTGCAGATGTTTGGCGGGACCTCCCGCTTTCGGGGATTTAATGTCCATCACCCATGAAATGCTTGTTGATATTCCGAATGGTGATATAAAGAAGCAGTTGGTGCGAAGCAGACTTCATAGTAGCAAATGTGCATTATGTATAATATTGTTTGCCCTAGGCAGAATATGAGATTGTACAAAGACAGGAGTGTTGTATGACTAAAATGGCTAAAATGAGTTGGCTAAAATGCCCAAGCTGCCAAGACTCTTATATCGGAGAAACGGGTCACTCTAGGTGTATGGCTGAAAGAACCTTCAGCTGGCAAAACGTGGGACTCGACTCTAATAACACTGTGAAGACGTAACAAAATTGAAGCAATTGCGGAGATGGATTTGAAGTAAAACCCTAAACCTTGAAGGCAGTGTCCGGGTAAGAAGTTGAATTTTGAGATTTTCTGCAAGCCTGGAACTATTCGTTATGCTGAATCCAAATACTTACACTGGAACGCGCGAAAATGGCGAGGGAGGGCTATA